AGAGTATAGTATAGATGTACACAAAATACTGTTTAAACATTTGACGGTTATGAAATATCGTGGGTATGGGTCAAAACTCTTGTCCCATTCTATTCACTGCGAAATAGCTGGTGGATGGACGTTTCATCCCTTCATTCTAATCCAGTAGGTATGGAATCATCCGCAGAATGGTTTCTTGGAGAGCAGGGTATCGTCCCGGTCCATCGCCAGGAGTTTCCAATTTATGTTGTTACCCATTCAATGATATGTTTAGGATCTATGTCTGAATGTCTGATTCTCAGGCACACCTCATCCCCTGCTATAGTTACCCTCTGGGAATTTAACATAGCTATGGAAAATCACCATTTTTTATGGGAAAACTCACTAATTATAAATTGCCATTTTCAATAGCTATGTTAGTTTACCAGAGGGTATCTATAATATGTCCATATAGCCTAGTTCATCATCCACTACAATCGGCTTAAATCCCAACTTTTTAGAGGCTTAGTTGGCTCTAGTCGTATTCTACACCGTTGGCTGCGGGCTGAAGAACCCGTTACTGAAACATCTCAGAATCAGCAGGGATAGACATTGACACATTTGGGTGAACTCAGCACTGGTGAAAGGTATATCCCCACAGAAAAAATATCCAACATATTCTCCCACATGGTCCCATTCTATCCCATAAATATCCATAAATGCTAACAGATCTTGGTATGTCTTGGTCATATCCTATCTATTTCACCGATGTAAAATTTTCTGGTTGAAATCCCCAGGTCGGACTCCCAAAAAAATCTTTTGAGTCCCCCAACCGCGCGGCCTCCTGGAAGGAGAACCGGATTCAACTGAGACCCGACACCCCAGGTGTCCACAATCCCAGCATCTCAATGGATTGGTAAACTCACGGGACAAATTGAAACCGGAAAGCCCCATGATCTTATTGGGAAAATACCGATGGTTTCCGGTTTTCAGATTTTCCCGTGAAAACCAATCCATTGAACATCTGTTCAGACAGGGTGGAGCCATCACTTGGCCGCTGGTTGGGTTCAGCCATCTTCAGCCGTCCAAGTTTGGGATTTCTGAGCTTCTTGAAGCCAAGGATTCTCAATCATCATCCAGTTGTAATTAAATTTAGGATGACCATTTGGGTTGGTCTGAAAATAGGGAATACCCACAAGTAACCGTTGTAATAGGGAAAATGATGATAACCCATTGGAATTTGAAGTACTGTAGACACACTCATTTTAGTATTGAAAGAACAATGGTAACTTAGGGTACCCCGATGACTTAGGAACCCATGGTTGAAACCACCCATCTCCAAGCTCCGGTCGGTCCTGGGAATGGGATTGGTTCTTGGTGTGTTTTCGATCTTCCTTCTCCGCCATCGTCTTCAACACCTGCCTTCGGGCTGCTGCAGATGCTGAAAAGGTAGCCTTTTTTAGCTGTGGTTGATACGTTGAAATTAGATTAGCTCAAAATAGATATTGACTAATCAAAACACAACACAATCAGATAAATGAGGCAATATTGGATCTGCTGACAAAAAACACGTTGGTTGTTTTCCAACACCTACTGAACATGGGAATTTGACCACACAAACACAGAGATAAAAACCACCTATGGGCATGTAACCAAAAGACGATGACGATCAACTTACCAAAATGGGGTCCTTACCCATTCCATAGACTGAAGGTTACGGGTTTAGGTTCAGTCTGATTGAGTGCCAAGTTCCCGGTTCCTTAGTGATGATCAGTCCATGATGATGCCCGGTATCCTCCAGTAATTTGACATAACTAAAAAGAATGCGTATATTTTAACATGATTTACCTATCAGAAAGAATTAAGAACATGTGATTTTCCATAGTTATGTCAAATTACCAGAGAGTATACCAAATGGTAGAAGTCTATACAACCACCACCCAAGCGGGATCAAGAGGGAACAACCAACCTTGCTCAAAACGGTCCTGATGGTGTCAACTCATCACTCAAACATAAACACGCCTTAGTAGTCATTATTAGCCATTAGTCATGAGAGAACATCATGTCATGGATGGAAGAAATATTTTTGTGGAATCACCAACTATTGTATATAGTATCTGTTGCAACCATATACTTTGCAAGTCTTCAAGGGGTCTTCACCTCGAAAACTGAGAAACTCCGGAAACAAGAGCCCAATCGCCTCTTACACATCCAATCATTACAATATACTACAATTGGGCTAAAAAAAACTCAACAATTCAGAAGTCACGATGATTAGAATCAGAATTTCCGGTTATCAACCGATATGTGCCATTTGGTCAAGTCCCATCCCCGGTACCTTCTGGTAATTTAACGTAGCTATTGAAAATGGTGATTTATAGTGGATTTTCCCATTGAAAATGGTGATTTTCCATAGTTATGTTAGTTTACCAGAGGGTAAGTCAGTGTCCATTCAGTTTCAATGATCCAACAGTCCCTAGGGCAGTCCCATTCGGCTTGCCAAAGAAATCCATGGAGCTACGGCCAGCCCGGCGGAGTTGTGGACCCTCCTATGAACCCTGGTTGGTGGTTACCCTCTGGTAAACTAACATAGCTATGGAAAATCACCATTTTTTATGGGAAAATCCACTATAAATGGTCATTGTCAGTAGCTATGTTAAATTACCAGAGGGTAAAAATGACCATCTTGAAAAATGATGCAGTTCGTCAATGGGGTTGGGATGACACCCCATATTTCTGAAATGGAAAATAATCCAAATATTCCAAATCACCAACCAGTTTCTGTACCAAACATGGCAGTGAAGATTCTCATGCAAATCTTTCTGATTTTTTGTATCCCGTGCTGAAAAAATGCTGACTTTCCAGCCAAACATATGACTCTTCAAGGGGTAATACTGGTATACCACCAAACCACATACCTACATATATAATCATATATATATATAATAAGCCAGTAGGATTTAATAAACCCCCATGCAACAAAATATTTGGGAGTAGCCTCCTAACTTATTCATCTGGTTTCAATGGATCGATTTAAGGGGAAAATTCAGAAAAGAAAACACGAGAACGCACCATTTTTTTGGGGGAAAAAATTATGCTGCAATGTAGTGTAATTCTTCCCTTCAAACCAAAGATTCCCATCTATTTCGAGGTTTCCAAAAATGGGCACCCCCAAGTCATCCAAGTTACACCATTTTCGTATGGAAAGCCATGGTGACGACTTGGGATTGGCGAAAAAATCGGCTTCTGAGTTGTCCCAACTGGTGCTGGTGCCGCAAGGCAAGTTGGCGCAAATCAGGCTGAACGCCTGGCTTCAAGATCCCCATCCCCATGGCAGCCATGGGATGCGTGAAACCACGGGCCCCATGGTAAAAATGGTAAAACATCATGTTTAATCAAGGCTCACAAGTCGATACCCTCTGGTAAACATACAAAAAGCTACGGAAAATCACCATTTGTATTGAAAATAGTTATGGAAAATCACCAGTTTTCATGGGTAAATCACCATTTTTTTATGGCTAAATCAACTAAAGCTGGTTGGAGGGTAGCCCTGGCCCCTGGATGCTGCAAGCCCATCCTATCTTTATAAACCATTGAAGCCATCAACTAGCCATCATTGATCAAATGCATCAATGGTTGATGGCTAGTTGATGGCTAGTTGATGGCTAGTTGATGGCTAGTTGATGGCTAGTTGATGGCTAGTTGATGGCTAGTTGATGGCAGTTGATTGAGTTTAATCCCCATTCAATCATTTCTTCTGAATCAGTTTAATCCCCATTCAATTGGGTTCAGACCACATTCCCAATGCTTAGCTACCAGAAGTTTAGATATCTATGACTATGACACCATTTATTTAATGTCAGAGTTACAATGTTTACAATTAACTCATGCATCGAGTTAGGATCAAGAGTGTACTTATCTAATGTGTTCATTTTCTGACTGATACTGTAACACCTTTCAAATAGTATCCAATGTTGATGTCCTATTCTCTATATATATATATCATGTCATATATTGATATATATATATATATCATATATCTATATATATACACCATATATATACCATATATATATAATATATAATATATCAGTAATACCTGTTGATTACTCTCCAATGCTCCTCTTTACCGCCGTGTTCGAGCAAATTGCCTGGCATGGACCAGGCCGCCGGCGCCATTGGCAACTTCTCGGCTACCTGGCGCCATTGGAACGGTCCAAGTTATCTGCTTGGAAAGCCTGAAAGATACACGGGAAGACCATGGAAAACAAACACCTGGTTGGTGGTGAAAAATAACATAGTTGGGAAGTATGATGACTTACAGGTGTAATTTAGTGGTATTTCGTTGTTTACGGTTCATAAGTATAGTGCTTGGGAGCTATAATTATCTGGTTGGTGGTTTTAACCATCTTGAAAATGAAAGTCAATGGGAAGGATGACATCCCACATATGAAATGGAAAATAGAAAACAGTTGAAACCACCAACCAGAAATGGTGAAATCCCAAAAGATTGCTACAGAAAATGACTTTTCGATACTTTTCGATACTTTTCTGATCTATCTTTTGGGCCAACCATAGCAATATGTCATTGAGATAGGGAAATAATATGACATAATGAGGCTATTAGGCCTTCGAAGTGGTGCCCCAGGTCGGGTTCATGCTAAGTTGGTTTATGGATGTTTTTGGTATACCCTCTGGTAATTTAACATAGCTATGGGAAATCCATTATAAATGGAGCTTTCAAGCTGGGAAAATCATCTGTAAATGGGCAATTTTCCATAGCTATGTTAAATTACCAGAGGATATATATATATATATGGCAGTGTGTCAAAACCCTATACCCCTGGTGGACATCAAAATAGCTGGTAAATGGATGTTCATCCCACTAAAAATGGTATTAATAGGTATTGATCCATACCCATATAGATAAATATCGAACTACTTCGTGGAGCTTGGAAATTATAAACCACCCCGGCTGCAAAAAAGCAGCACCTGGTGACTTTCCCTCGCTGTGCGGGGATCTGAATAGGGATCTGAATGGGGATCGAATCTGGTTTCCATTGGGACAACTAGCGATTTTAAATGGGGGGCTTTCGAGATTTCTATGTGAATCTAATGTAAAGTATTTAGTAACTTAGTAGTTATGCTTGGAGCAAGAGCAGACTTGTTCCGCTCAGAAGCCAGATCGTGGCCTTCTCAAATGCTCCTTGAACCAATTGTTGTGCCATGTCAAAACCAATGGTTTGGGGTACCCATGTTTTTGGAAACCTCTATCTGAGTACTTTGTAACATTTTCACTAACCTGAAACGTGCGGCAATTTGGAGATGTGTCCCCCTACTAACCATAATTCCAATGAGGTCACAGTGAGATCACTATAATTTCACCTATATGTATAAATATATATATATAACCTCAATATCTGAAGTTAATGATCAGTGGCGCCCCTTCATCCCAGCCTCAGATTCCACCGACGTACCTATATTATCTATCCATCTCTCTATCCAATCTATCTAGATATATTATACACACCAAGATACCTTGAGACACAAACACGTCCGTATCACCGCGGGCCTGAAGCGCTTCAGGTGCTTCGCCCACAGGGGCGGCGTCAGCTGCCTCGGCCATAGAGGTCTGTCTCGACCTGACAAGAAGGAGTGGATAGAATTCTCGCAGATGTCATGGGACATAATGGGATTTAACCACACAATGATGGTTGGGATATAATGGGATTTAATTGATTGGTTTAAGGGAAATTTGAAACCGGACACGCCGATTTTTTTTCATGGAAAAAGGCATGGTGTCTGGTTTAGATGTTCCCTGGAATCAATCCGTTGAACTTCCTTTAAAAATTCATTTGTGAGGAACAGCATTGTATGCCCAAGAAAATGGCAACGGGAATTCCAAGAAAACAACATTTGAATGTCATCAAGTCACCAACAAAATAATCAGGTGAGAGAACATGCAGCAGTGGGAATATCTCCGAGGAAGAAGGCATATTCCTAACAAGAACTGACAAATGGGTTGTCCTTAATTCCTGTCTAATTCTCTCCCTCAGAATTCCCAAATCCAAAGTCTTTGCAGGCAGGTAGGTGGCAGGATATGGCAGGACTCGAAATGACACCGGAGATAAAAAAGTTCATGATGATTCATCAGATTATGATGAAATGATGTACTGATATACCGATATACCAGACATGAGTTACAATTAACATCAATTAACTAATTCCGATCCTAAAGTGACGTCCCTTTAAAATTAAATTTGCATCCAGTAATCATGGCTTGCCAGAAAATCGCCTATTTCTGTGGATTTTCCCAGCTATAAACAGCCATTTACCCTCCAGTAAAATCCCGTCTATTTTCACATAGACCCTGCCATTCATCGGGGTTGGAAGATTAGTTTCCACTAGAAATAGGAGTAAATAAATCATATAAATAGATATAAATAGGTGTTTTTCATGGTTTTTCCAGGTTCCCACGGTTTTTTTTCACCGCTCGGGCACCGAAAAATGTCCCGCCGCCAGACGGCGAGCGCCTTCTTCGATTGCGTCGACGTCGATGGCGTGTCTCGGACTCCTGGAGGGGACGGCGGTAAGTAATGCGGCAACCGCCAGGTTCGATAAATTTTTAATATATGGCTAATATATGGTTATTATATGGTTAATATATGGTTAATATATGGTTAATATATGGTTAATATATGGTTAATATATGGCTATTACCCTCTGGTATATTAACATAGACCCTGGCAGTCATCGGGGTTGGAAGACTAGTTTCCATTGAAAATTGCTTGTTTTCAGGGTCTATGTTAATTTACCAGGGGGTATATATGGTTATTATATGGTTAATAATGATTATTCCCAATGTGATGGGAAAGTCATAATCCAGCCATGTTCCAAACCACCAACCAGATGAAAATATGGCTGGGTTACTATTTCTTTACTATGCGTTACTAAGAGTACAGGGAGTATTGATGATTTTAATGTATTATATGTATTAAGCCATACAACTTTGGGGCTAGACTCCAATTGACTCACATCTATTTGCAGGACCAGAAATAGGATGTGTCAAACATGTCAATTAAATCATATCATCAAAGCCTTTGGGGCCGTCTCAGATTTGAAAACATGGGGTGTATAACACACACATGTATATATATATTATAATCATATACATACAAAATCATAAGATATCAATAGATATCATAGGTATAGATATATATATATATATACAAAGAATTTTAAAGACGTAAAGAGGTCACCAGAATTTGGCTTATACCCTGTATCCAATAAACATGTTATGGACAGGGTTGATCCGAACAACCCGGATACCAGGGTGATGAAATTGGGAGTAAACAGACGAAAGGGTGAAACCAGCAGTTTCCCTCCTTGTGGCAATCATTTACCTATTGTACTATAGATCTACATAGATTGGAGCAGGCCTCTTTTAAATGTGGGATCAATAATAAGCCATCCCATCATAAATCATAAACCAAGTAGGCGTTTTCTCCGTATACCCAATCAGAATCATAAACTAAAGACTGGAGGTCACTACAGATAGACATAGATATCCCATCATCATCCTACGACGAACCCAGATCTCACGGCCTACCCAGAGCTCACGCGACAGCTGTTACCACCCCGCCTGCAGGCTGTGTTCCTCCGGCCTAGACGAACCTCACCGGAACGGAGCGAGCAGTAGGGGAGTTGTCATGATTATCCCATCTCTGGACGAAGGACGAAAATGATGATTTACCCTGGAGTCAAATATGGCTGGTTTTTTTCAACCACCGTTTCCATAAATATGTCCAATATGAACATCAGCTATAAACGAATGCTGTAGTGAGGCTTGTCCAATCATTGCTAGGCGATGTTACCAGAGGGTATGCCATAGATGAATCAACCGACATTGAACCTGGGCCAATGAATTCTCGAAAATGACCTGAATGACACGGGACCAAGATATGTTTGTTGCCATTTAGCCGGAAAATAATACTACCACATAATTCATAACAATCTCACTGACTGAGTAACTCACTAACGACCAAGCTCCACAAATTCCCATTCATATCCATTCATGATGGTGAAGGTTGTTTTAATCAAGTCGTTGGCCAAGAACAAATCAGATGGGTCTGACAATTGTGGATACCACAAACAACCATTTTACTGGGGAACTACTGGGGAGCATCATGACTAGCCGATATCAACCACAGGGCATTTCAGAGCCATGGCCAGTCGTTTCAACACTTTTTCCCTCGCGTAAATGAACAGTTTGACCCTGAAAATTGTCAGTGTTAAGTGAAGATTTATTTTCCAAGCCCCCCAAAATGTGGCAGGGTCGTCATGTTAGTTGGGGGAAGGCAAATCTATTTTCGCCCCTGTAAACAGCGCAATAGTTTTGATGTTGCCGCCGGGACATGCTGAAGGAAAATGAAGAAATCCTGCACCAGTTGGTAGATGATTTATTCCGTTGTAATCCCACTATTTACCTGGTTGGTGGTTTTAATCATCTTGAAACATATTAGTCAATGGGAAGGATTCTCCCATATTATTATGGAAAACAAAAAATGTTTGAAACCACCAACCAGTTACAGTGTTACGAATCCCAATAGGAATCCCAAGTGGTGCAGGATTTCTTCCAAAAAACTCCGTGGCCCCGCTGAGACCCACCTGAGATCACAGCCCGACAGGTTTCACCTGGACCATTCGCCAGGTTCGGTGCGGCATCCCAAACGAACGGCTGTGATGTTTAGTGGGATGATATAATAATGATACATATCTAATATAATATAATATAATGTATGTATATATATATATACAGAGATATAGATATACAGACATACTAAATCCTTACATTTAGTCTGAGGCGAATTCAATTTTTATGGTGAGAACAAGATCATCAAAATCAATCCCTTCACCAACTGTTCACCAAGCAAAAATTCATGAATTGGAACTGCACACCCAGTCACCATTTTGAGGCGGAAATGCACATGTCTGGTGGAATGCGGCTACATTCCATCGCTCATTGGGAAACTGCAAGCCTGACAGATCCTGACAGTTTGCTAAGCTCCCAGTTCTCCGACCCGCGCAGGGCACCTGCACTCTTTTTGGAGGTAGCACCTATGGTCACCGAACCGAGGACTTGGTTGAATCCTCATGACGTAGTGCTATAGCAGCTGTGTAGCAACATGGAAAAAAAAGTGTACCATCTGGTTATGACTAACTCACAGTTTGCCATGGAAAGATCCACCATGCTATTAATAGCTAAACCATCTATTTCTATGGGCCATCTATTTTCCATTGCTATGTTAGTCATAAGGTAAATGATCAGCATCGAGATCATCAATGCAAATTTGCTGCCTTGCAATCCCGATGTCGCTATGCGATGTCGCTATGAAGACTATAACCAACCAGTTGCACAGATGTTTGGGCTATATGTTTCAAACAAAAAATGTCTTAATTCGGTTAAAACAATGTCATAAACCATCCCCCAGTCATCACAATTCTCAAAAAAGTGGTATGGTTACCATTCCCAGTCATGGGTGGTTTATTAGCATTGTTTTTTTCCCATATTACAGCACATCTTAGAACTCTTACACATCGCCAAGTCTGGGGGGCCAGATCCAGCAAGCTGTCAATGGAAGGGGGATTGCCCCAAAACCAACAAAACATATTACTAGGTTTCATGATGTGTCAATGTAATCTAATGGGATGAAAAACTGGATTTAACCAGCGTTTCAATGGGATTCACTGCGATTTCATGTTGCTTTATATGGTTTAATAGGGATAATCCTGGGAGAATGATGAGATACTACATAATCCATTTACCCCTCTGGTGTGATCGAACATAAATAGCTGAAAAATCCCGGAACTAAATGGTGGCAGCATGTCAAAACCTTGTACCCCTGGTGAACATCAAAATAGCTGGTAAATGGATGTTCATCCCCCTAAAAATGGTATTAATAGGTATTGATCCATACCCTGGTGGTTTATAGCTGGGGAAATCCACAAACGAAATTTAAAATGGTTGATTTTCCAACCATGCTTGATTACCGGAGGGTAACATGCTGAACAAATTGGGAACAGGAGGATTCAACGCGACCCAGATTTGATTTACCAGGAACCCCCATAGTCTGAAGATAAAGCAGCCCCGCCCAAAAAATGATGCCTAATCAATGATAATCATCCTTTTCCCTTAAATGCTGTTTTTCCCTAAAGTGGTGGTACCCCCAGTCATCATCCATTTATAGGTGGCATGTTCCATGAAATAAACCATCTAGCTATTGGGGTATCCCCATGACTATGGAAACCAGCTCTTCCAGCTCTTCCAGCCTCCTTGTCCAGTATCAAGATCTGGCTGAAAAAGCCACCATGAAGGTTAAAACGCTGAGGCCCTCTGGTATCATCAAACGTGGCTGGCTATGAAATTATCTATGTATATATATATATTAATTATATACAACATTATACAACTGGAGATTTATAGCTAGGAAAACCATCCAACTAAATCTCAAGGATTGCTTTTCCATTGCCACGGCTGATTACCGGAGGATAAACGTAGACTTCATTAACATGAGGCAAAACAAAGGGGGTTGGTGCAATTATTTCACAAAAGTGGTGTCAATCAGATTAATCAAACCTCAGAATCCACATGAATTCATGGTCATGGGCCCAATGGGGCTGCCCAAATTTTATGGACATATCAACCTTTATCACCCTGCGGTGTCATCAAACGTGGCTTGTTGGAGCATCCCACCGTTCAGTTCGATGATTCTTCATCAAAGGGACCAGCAATACTTCAGTGATTTTCCGTTGCCATGAGGTGACCATCCCTTTTATATGAAGCTAAGCTAAGCTAAACCAAGTTTGTCTGAAAATTGGGTACCTGATTCCACTGGATAGTCCTATGTTCCCCACAGGTCAATTGACATTTGGGGGTTGGTCCCCATTGACACAGCCAGCCATAATAACAGTTGGTTATATATCCCGCAGGAGTCCATTGTCTCTAAATATATATATATATGTTTATATAGTTATATATATATATATATATTATACTGGTTGGTGGTTTCAACCCCTCTGATAAATATTAGTCAGTTGGGATGATTATTCCCAATATATGGAAAAATTAAAAAAATGTTGCAAACCACCAACCAGTTATATACAATATATATCAATCCCCTTGGAAATTTTAGGGGGTCACTCAAGTGACCCCATTCTTTAGACAGAAAATCTCTGACCCAGTCAAAAGCCTAGAAAATGAAAAGACCAAGTAAAATTGGACGTTTTTTTTGATTGGGCAATGCATTTTCTAGAGGGATGTATGGATGTTTTGGACATGTATGTTTTTAAACAAACAGGTACATGAGAGTACAATTCACCACTTTGGGTCTAGAAAATGACTTGTCATGCCATCATAAGAACAATAAAAAATGTTCCCTTTAAAAAATGGTTTCAAAAATGGAGGACCAGAAATGAACAATGTTTTCTCTAGAAAATGAATTGTGCAATCCTTACTAAGACAGGTAATCCATATTCCCCAGGAATCACCAAAAAACAGTCATTTAACTCAAATTTAGTGCCAAAAAATTAATCCAAAAACTCAGCCTGCAATCCAGCGCCAACAAAGCGAGTGATTTTTTTTCTCTCCCAAAAATGTCCAAGATTGGTTGATCAAGATTGATCAAGGTCTCTACTTTTGTCAAGTCCATGAAGAACTTGAATTTCAACGAACGATTTGGGCTGACCACATATTTCACGAATAAATAAGGCAATGAAGGAACCACTGAACAACAAGTTCTCTACAAAATGAATCAACATGAATCAGAAGAATTTGTTGCCAACAATTTTTCAAAAATATTCTGACAGCCCACTCAAGCTGGATGATGTGGATTCATTTTGTAATGAATCAGCCAGTCTGCAGTGGCACTACGAGTTGTGGTCAGACAACAACGCACGAAATTCCTAAACCACAATAACCCCAAACATTCCGAAACAACATCAAATAACACCATTGACGTCTAGAAAATGGATGGACATGGACCTTTGGCATGTGATTAGCCATCGGCATTTTATTGATTGTTGGACAGTCATCCCGGTGATATACAACTTCAGGATACTTGAGGATCAAGTTGTGGACCAAGTAATAAAATAGAGATCAAATAGAAACAATTCAACACAGATCATTTTCATTCATTTTCTAGTTAGCCCTATCTGTCCCTACCTGCCGCTGTCTGACACGCAAATTGATCCCCTGTAAAATGACATCGCAGTCTACATGCAAAAAAAGAAAACAACATTAAATGATATTAAATGGACATGGACCTTTGGAACATGATTAGCCATCAAATGACATCAGCAATCTAATGTATCCTGCGACGGTCATCCCGCTAACAAATGCCTTGACTATCTTTGGGTTGCCGCAGGTGTGGAAAACATTCCATTCCCCTGCTACGTTTTCAAATGGGTTGGTGTAGGTTCCACAATTTGAGGATATTTGAAGATCCAACGTCAATAAAATACAATCAAATATGATGAAAAACATGAAACAACATCAGCTCCTGACAGCTTATAGATGCTTATAGTATATTATATCTTGGTATCATGTTGTAATTATATAATCCATATTAATCCATCTATATCTGTCTATATCATAATCTCAGTTTAAAGACTTTGAAGCCACTGTCTGGCACCCAAATTTGTCCTAATATGTCCTCACACGTCCTAATGTCAATTCTGCAATTGACTTCGCAGGCTGCAAACCCCCAAAAACATCCAAAAACTATACCATTCCCGGATCCATTCCCATCCATTCACATCCATTCAAACAGCATCAAACAGTCGAACAACAACATTTATTTCTAGAAAATGAATGGGTATGAACAGTTTTGGGGAACATGATTGGCCATCGAGATGCTTCTGCCTCCTGCGACGGACATCCTGCTAACAAAACCAAAAATTTCAGTACATCCCGTTTTGATCCATTTTGTAGATCATTTTGTACTGATTTCCGGAACCTGTGAAATCGAACGGGAGCTTTGCCAGTGAAACCGCTTCATTGTCTTGGGTTGCCGCAGGTGTGGAAAACATTCCATTCCCCTGCTACGTTTTCAAATGGGTTGGTGTAGGTTCCACAATTTGAGGATATTTGAAGATCCAACAGTCAATAAAATACAATCAAATATGATGAAAAACATGAAACAACATCAGCTCCTGACAGCTTATAGATGCTTATAGTATATTATATCTTGGTATCATGTTGTAATTATATAATCCATATTAATCCATCTATATCCGTCTATATCATAATCTCAGTTTAAAGACTTTGAAGCCACTGTCTGGCACCCAAATTTGTCCTAATATGTCCTCACACGTCCTAATGTCAATTCTGCAATTGACTTCGCAGGCTGCAAACCCCCAAAAACATCCAAAAACTATACCATTCCCGGATCCATTCCCATCCATTCACATCCATTCAAACAGCATCAAACAGTCGAACAACAACATTTATTTCTAGAAAATGAATGGGTATGAACAGTTTTGGGGAACATGATTGGCCATCGAGATGCTTCTGCCTCCTGCGACGGACATCCTGCTAACAAAACCAAAAATTTCAGTACATCCCGTTTTGATCCATTTTGTAGATCATTTTGTACTGATTTCCGGAACCTGTGAAATCGAACGGGAGCTTTGCCAGTGAAACCGCTTCATTGTCTTGGGTTGCCGCAGGTGTGGAAAACATTCCATTCCCCTGCTACGTTTTCAAATGGGTTGGTGTAGGTTCCACAATTTGAGGATATTTGAAGATCCAACAGTCAATAAAATACAATCAAATATGATGAAAAACATGAAACAACATCAGCTCCTGACAGCTTATAGATGCTTATAGTATATTATATCTTGGTATCATGTTGTAATTATATAATCCATATTAATCCATCTATATCCGTCTATATCATAATCTCAGTTTAAAGACTTTGAAGCCACTGTCTGGCACCCAAATTTGTCCTAATATGTCCTCACACGTCCTAATGTCAATTCTGCAATTGACTTCGCAGGCTGCAAACCCCCAAAAACATCCAAAAACTATACCATTCCCGGATCCATTCCCATCCATTCACATCCATTCAAACAGCATCAAACAGTCGAACAACAACATGTATTTCTAGAAAATGAATGGGTATGAACAGTTTTGGGGAACATGATTGGCCATCGAGATGCTTCTGCCTCCTGCGACGGACATCCTGCTAACAAAACCAAAAATTTCAGTACATCCCGTTTTGATCCATTTTGTAGATCATTTTGTACTGATTTCCGGAACCTGTGAAATCGAACGGGAGCTTTGCCAGTGAAACCGCTTCACTCGGTCTCCTCAAGATTTGCCGTGCATTGCACAAAGCTAGCAAGATCTTTGACCAACTGGAGCCATGATTGCCGCACCGGGGTGGGCTGACTCAGCTGATCGCGAACTTTCTCAATCATCTTGTGGACAGTATCACCGTAGATCGCAGGGCTTCTCAGATTGTGAAACCTCAGCAAGAGATAGCAAACGGATGCAAAGGACAGTGGATCATGTTCTAATGCTTTAAAAACATCCAAAACCACCTGCAACCATCTGCAACCCATGCTGACCAGATCAGACCAGCCCATGGCCTAGAAAATGAATGAAAACAAACATTTCTAACTGTCTCTAGCATCCATCATCCTGAATCAGCTCTGGAAAACATATATGGAGGGATACTCAGCTGACCCTTTATGTTTAATCATTTTCTAGCAAGGATATCGCTGTACCCGTCCAAGTTTATTTCCTTATATTTCTATATATTTCTATATATTTCTATATATTTCTATATATTCCTTGCATCTTGGGGACATGGTTTCGAAGCAAGGTCCGGCACGAATCTTGAGCAACTGCCACGTCACGTCCTGAGCGCCTTTCATGCGACAGTTGCCGTCAACATCAAACAACGGGTTTTGTGGAAATCGGTCACAGTCAAGTCGGTTGAGCTCCTCAAGCCGTTTCGTAATCAAAGCACGGCTTGCCTTAGATCGGTGATAGTCTGAAGCTGTGGGCGGGGCCTCTGGTTCCACCTCTGCTTCTGGCCTTGGAGCTTTCGCCTTGAGTGTGTGTTTCTTCGTTTTGGCATCTGCACTTTTCGTCCCTCCTGGATTGGTCTTCTTTCCTTTCACCACCTTGCACCTCCTCCTGATCACATCTTCCTGACTGGGTTCACTTGGATTTACGGGATCTACCAATGGCTTTCTCCCACGAACCATGGTGGGCTGAACAGTCCATGTTTCCATATCTGAAATTCTTGAAATGGCATCGCCACTCTCCGGAGACAACTTGATCTTGACGTTGCCCTTGTTGCCCATTGGCTGAACACCTGAGCAGTCATGAGCAGTCTATACATTTCTGATTGTTTCCAATTTCATTGACTGTTCCACCTGCATCCATCTACAAAATGGATCAGCATGAATCAAAATGGATCTAAATAAATCAAATGAATTCAAATGAGTCAGAATAAACCAAAATGATTCAAAATGACTAAAACCTAATTCAAAGTTTCTGTACGTCAAACATCGTCAAACCATCTCAAACCAATAATACATCCAAACACATCCAAACGGCCCAAACCCATCCAAACCCATTCCGAACCCTTCAATGCCCTGTCTAGGCACACTTTTCAACATCCAATATGGTGACCAGGCTCTCCAAGCGGACAACCCAGGCAATGGATTTGTCCCGACAGACCCACTCAACTGGAGATTCTTGGTTTTCGTTGGCAAGTTCCAACGACAGCACACGAAACGCTGTGCAGGAGTTTATGGGGGTTTCTCCTGAGTGGAGGCGGGGTTGCTTGACCCCTTTCCACACACACAAAACCAACCCAACGTCCAGATAGGCCTCTCTCAGACGAGGTGTGTGGAACACTACAACGTTGCCAGGCCTTGGTACAAGCTGACAACATCTAGAAAATGAATGAACATGACCAAGCATTATATCATTGCACATCACTGGATCAAAGGGCTCCAAAGCCCAGGAAACAACATAATTTCATAATTCCACACAATTCGCTAAGTCCAACACATACATTTATATATACATAGCATGCGTATACACATTGGCTTTAGGATGTTTTGGGATGTTTTGGGTATGTTTTGTCATTTTCTAGACAAACTTTCTGGGGGTGAGGACAAATCAATTGAATTCAATTATGAGACAACAAAACCATACATAACCATACATAATCAATCATAATCATACATAATCATACATAATCAATAGTAAACCAAGTCAATCCAAATCAATCCAAATCAGTCCAAATCAGCTGAACGACATAAGCCGTTCAGGCGGGGCAATCGGCACGCGCAGTTCAGCTTGGGCTTGCTGCACCAGCTGCTTCCATCCTTCAAGTCGGCTGGCCCGAGCTGTGTACACGGGGTCTTGTTTCTCTGCGTTGAGCTCAGCGATCCTTTTGTTGTTGTACCTCAAGCAGTATGCATCAAGATGCTGATATTCAGAATTATTCAGAGGGGCAGCTCCATCAAGCTACAGCAGCAAAACACAGCAAAACCATGCAATGCCAAATCGATCAAAATTGCACTAATCAAAATTAGGAAGGAATTTCATAAGCATTGAATCCATGTGAATCCAAGGTGCTGGTACCAGTTCAAGCCTTTGGCTGTGCGTCTGCAAGCCCTTGCATTACTCACAAATCCAGTGTCACTGCCGCCCTTGGCAGAGCGTAGGCGGATAGCAAATCGGACCAAGGCGTTGAACAAACAGCCCTTCATGGAGAGTGTCTCCTGCAAAGAATTGGGAAGCCTGTCGCCACCTTTTGAATCCCGGGGGCTCTTGCTTGTCTCACTGCAAAAGGCCTCCTGCAAAAGTCATCAAAATCTGCAAGTGCATGTCAATTCAGGGCACCTATGGGATCCGATGGGAACCTATCTTGCGCATAACCATGCAAAACCTATTGTGTGTAGGATACCTATGGATATCTATAGATATCTTCAGGTTCGAGTGGTCAATGTCATTTTCTAGAGGGAAAACCCCAATGGCCTTTCATGGTCTATGTATGTCTATGTGCTATCATGATCTATCATGTGCATTCATGTGCAGTCCTGCACGTTCTGACGTTCCAGGAGGTTCTTGAGCACATCAGCATCTGGAATCTCCAACAGCTTTAAGTCTTCTTTAGGGGCGTCGGGTGCCTTCGTATCATCCATGACAAACTCACTGTCGTTTGTGGCGACAAAGTCGTCTATGAACTCCGCGCACTCTGTGGTCTTCTTCTTGTCCAAAGGCATATCGCCTTCCATGACGTTGGGGTCACCATCTTCCTCATCGTCCTCAAAGGTGAAGTCTTGATTTGCGCAAGCCAACTGGTACGAAGTCAGAAGCTTCTCCTGGGAGATGCCGCTGCATGTGGACACAAGCTCAAGTGAGGAGGCCAAAGCACGTCGACAGCATCCTTCAAACCTCAGAAAATGGTGGAATTGCAATGGTCTAGAAAATGACTGAACCTAAATCACTTTGATATTCAATATCTAGAAAATGAATGAACATGTATGAAACTGGTGAACTTTGCAGCCAATCATGGCAAGGGACTCTGAGTCGTTCAAGGCCCTTTCTGTTGCTGCAGGTGTTGGCTTGCACTTGTTCAGGACATCATTGACTTTCAAGCTTTGTCTGGCATCTGCATGCCAAAACCCACGGGTACTCAATTGAGCACTGGCCACTTGGGATCTCAGATGCCCGAATTGGTGCTCTATTGCCAACTCAGAGAGCCGGGCGAAGCCGTATCTCCACGGCATGAAATCGTCGCATTTGGCCACACACAGGGCTATTGTCGACAGGGCTGTGCCCTGTAAATTGTATTGCGTTTGGGATGCCATCCAAGTAGTTCCCTTCGGAACTCCCAGGTCACTAGCCTTCTTGTCAGCGCACAGCTTCCAAAGGTCTAGCAAGACAAAACCACAAACTGCGGCTTCGCATCTCTCAATCAATGTCAAAAAATGATGGAGAGCAGGCGAGATGCAAAGAGCGACGGTGATGTTGTGCAACGTGGCTCCTTTCAACGACCACGGTACCTCCATAGAAGCTAGTGGCCCTTCCTTAGCATATTCATGCATATTCAACCACCCACACAGATCCACACATACTGTCTAGAAAATGCCGTTGTATAGATGAACATGAAGGGCCAAAGTCTAAAAATATACCACATAGCTCCACATAGATTCACATAGACTCTCTAGAAAATAACCCTGCATGGACTAAAAATGGATGAGCATAAAAAACAAGTAGTATCGATGAATATCGCATATGTATGCATATGTATGTATATGTAAAAATGGACTGGCCTAATTTTTAAGGTTAATAGGCTTCCATGTTTGGATGTGTTTGGCCCATGTTTCTCAATTTTGCTAATTGGTTTCCATATATCCAGTATTCCCATCCTTATCCATCCTTATCCATCCTTATCCATCCTTATCCATCCTTATTCATCCTTCTCAAATTTTGCAAACGAGCTGCCACAGTTTCACACAAAAAGTAGGGGTTGCTCAAGAGAGCGTTCAATTTGTCGCTCATCGGCTGCAATCTGGAGTACGCAGCAGGTGGTAGACCAAACGACCTTGCCCCCGTCATGTCTGCCCAAAAGTCCCCGTAATAGAGCACTCGAAGGCAGGAATTCAATTGTCCCTGCGCATTCTTGTTCGCATGACCTCAGATTTCAAGTCACGAGTCTAAAATTGCATGGATTACTGTCTCTACAAAATAAATCAGAATGGGTCAAGTTGACATATTTTCAGATCATGTATGTTCATGCATTTTCTAGAGGAAGCAACCCACCAAAGATCCAAGAAGGCACCCAACTGCAATTATCTGCAATTCAGATGTGCTAAGAAGATCCGAGAAGCAGGGTCCGACCATGCAAAAGATAGGCTCCCCTTCGTACAGCGCGATGCGCAAAGGTAGCCTTGGAAGACGATGGTTTGGAAGCTCTCTGTGTTCCAAGTGCCGGAAGAATGGGACCTTTTTGACAGACTCCCTGCACACATCCTCGAAATCCCCGAAGATCACGCGACGCACAAAGGCATGTGATCCATGCGCGTCAAAGACCAGGCCCCGGATGGTTTTTCCGGACCTGGCATCACTCTCCATGATCCGGCCCACAATCTCGAGAATGGTCCAGTTACCCTTGTATTTTTCCGCGCCCTTGAAGCTGTGGCGCACTGGCAGCGAGCAGAACGTCAAGGGCGCTTTCTGCATTGCGCATGGATCCCATGCCAAGAAGGTCATCATGGATGATGCCTTGGTGATGTCCTTGATATTCAAGTTCTCTTTTGCCATGTCCAAGCATGCATCCTCTTCAGCTTCAGGCGACCAAGCTCCTCCTACAAGCACCTGTCTCTCGTGAAGAATTGTTTGCACCAAAGTCTGAGTCAAGTAGGTTTCATCAAATGCGCACCACAACCGACCTGCAGCGCACAGCTGGACAGGAGATAAGTATAGATATAAGTGATGAATAGTCATGCTAGACGGATCTAGACGGTGTCATAACCATTCCTAACCAGCACATGGCACCTTTAAATGGTCCTCCGTGTCATCTAGAAAATGGATGAAAATGGATGAAAGTGGATGAAAATTGATGAAAATGGATGAACATGAAAATAGATATGAAAATAAACGGGAACAAATGAGACTAGATCAATATAGATCCAAATCGCCAGCAGAATCATACAGAATCTACAGCCAAGATGCGTTTGGATGCAGAGCCTTTGCTGAATCGTTGATCCAACAGACGGAAGTTGGTCTCTAGCACATCTGGGAACATGAGAGCCAGCGCAGGGCACGGCAAGCTTCGTGGAAGGAGTAGATCCAAGGAGGTTCGGCACAATCTTGATGACAACCCAAACCTGAGGAAAGCAAACAGGCAATCCCCTGTCCCTGGAATGGTCAAAGCATTTTGTAGAGATCCATGCTCATCCAGCTCATCCCGTTTCAATCCCACTCCAATCTAGTCTCAATCCCGTTTGAATATGGGCCAATCCCGTTGTAAACTGTTTATTCGTCCTCATGGATTCTTAGAAAATGAATGAAAATGATTGGGAATTACTGGAAGTACATTCTGCTGCTTTCATTGGACAATAATGGATTGGTCGGTTATTCTCGTTCAACTCATCTTTTTCATTATTTTTCATTCTTTTTCCATGGGCATCTAGAAAATGAATGGGCATACGTCCTGCTGCCAAAGGGCATCTGTCCCAGCTTCCAATTTCCTCCCGCCAATGCCAGCTTCAGCCCGGCATCAGCTATCAAGGCTGCTTCCCGGCTGCATTCATTGCAACGACAGACCCTGAAGTAGGGGATGTCCATCTAACGTTCCCTCCAATGCCGCTGCGGCCAGCTTCAAGTTGACTTGATCAGATTCGGATGCTATTCCACTGGCCACGTATGCACGAAATCGTACCAAAACATCCGAGAAGCATTCGGGCACGGACCCCGGACTGTAGCGAAGACTCGGCTGGACAGTGGACTTGAAGAAGTCCATTTGCGGCCCTTTGAGAGTCCAGAGTCCATGCGCCCAGTTGGCTCGCACAATCTGCTGCAAATGATCAGTTTTCAATGCCAGGGTGTCATTCACCTTCTTTGGATCTATGGCGTAAAGGCCGCCATTGTAGAATGCCTTCTCCACTTCCTTGACTCCATCTTTCCCTTCAAAGAGGCGGGCATGCAACAACCTGGCTGCCATGTACTTCTGGGAATGTTTGGACACTGCCCGGACCACACAAGTACTAGAACCCAGCTTCATGCATTCTTCACAAATCGGCTTCTCTGATTCGTCAATATCCCAGAGAACCTTCTTCTTGCAAGTCTGGGAACGAATGAACCAACTCTGGCCGTCCTTGGATTTCTCTTGCCAGTAGGTGTGCCTGCCAAATTGCTCAAGGTTGGTCATTGCGATCCAAGTCTCAAACTCGGACTTCCAGACATTGCCAAGCGGACCACTGCGAGTGGTATCGTTGACCTCAAGTCCACAGCAGTCTGCCTGTTGCGAGTTTCCTAGATGCCGTTTTCCTTGTGAAAGGCTGATGTGCATCTGGGAATTTAGGTGACTGTCCAAGAAACCCCTGACAGACTCGCTCTTCCTCGCGCAGAGATCACCAACTTTTCCACCTGGCCACCTAGCCGTCTTGCACAAAGTGCACCTATATGGCAGCTTCTTGCCAAACGATCCTGGAGGAAGGAGGACGATGACCGGGTACATCTTCTTGGCATAGCTGAGGGGATCGGCATCATCTTCATCAGCGAGAGCACCAGCGTTTGGTGCATCCTTCTCTGGATGGCCAACTTGTTCTGGGTTGAGGCGAGCCTGGAGAGTCTCCATGTCGAAATTCTGGACCTTCAGAAATTCCAAGCAAGCTGGACACGTTGGAAGCTCACCTTTCACTAACTTTGTCTGCAAACTCACGAAACCCTTCTCCTGACAATCAACGGCACCCTTCAGGTGGATCGAAGACCGCCTCCGAAGGGAACCAGGGCCAGGCTGCAACATGAGGAAACGATCTCTAGAAAATGGATGAACATGGATCAAAATGATTTTCAGCAACATCCGTTGTTTCTAAGGAGATATATGGAATTTCAACATCTTTCACACAAACTTATACAAACCCTGCCTGTGATGGATCTTACTAAACAGAGGCCAAAGAGCGCCAATTTCTCCAAAGTACCTCTTGCATGTTTTTAATTGCACAGCAGCCGAGGGAAGCGTCACCTTCTTTGCTATCCGTCCGTGCTGTTTGCGGAAGATTTTGCCCGGTGCCACAAGGGGTTCGTCAGCGATAAGTCTCAAATCTTTGTCTGCTTTCTTGATGGTCTCCGGGTCCTCTGGGTCCTCCCGATCTGCGGCGGGATCAAAAGGACCATCTTCCTTGGTCACAACTGGTACACCTGCCCTTGCAAGGGTCTCTGGCACTTTCTTTGGCTGACCAAAGTTGGCAGCTCTACATTGACCAACCTTCTTGGGAGCAGTCGAGGTCTTGGCCGGGCTCATCTCCGAATCTTCAGGTGTCGGTTTCTTCTTTTTTGGTGGCGTGCTGGTCTCCGTTGCAGCTGGCTTCCTCTTGCTTTCAGCTCTGATCGATTTCGTGACTTCCGTCAGGCCAAAAGCAGTAAAGAGGTACTGCCAATTCGGATCCTCCTTGAACGAAAGCCAGCTGCACTTCAACTCCTGCGCAGCGAAAAATGGGGCAGCTGCTTCTAGAAAATGAATGAACATAACAAAACTCAAAAAACACCTGGCCTATAATAACAACATCTATATAGCTATACCATTCTATATCTATATATGCATTATCCATGTCCATTTATATCCCCATAAACATCCATAAACCCCTTTCCCTCTAGAAAATGAATGCAATCAATGGGGATGGCGACCTTGGAGAGATGGAAAGAGCCTAGAAATGCATAAAATAGGAAAAAAGTATAAAAGAGTATAAAAGAGTAGGGGAATAATGGGGAATATACGGATATATACGGATATATACGGATATATACGGATATATACGGAATATAGATATGAATATAGGGTAATAGTAGAAAATGATAGAAAATGAATAAACATGGTTGGAAGTGAATGAAAATCGATGAAATTGACACTTGTCCTGTCGCAGCATCTTGCACTGCTGCACCTTGAACTCTGGCTTCTCCACGATGCAGGATGGGCCCAACTCATGCGCAATGAATGACCACACCAAGCAATTCCCATCCCCGGGCACGTTACATGGTACAAAGCCAGTTGCGAACAACCTCTTGTACAATGCCTCCTCTACATCCAACTGTTTCTCCTCAACAAGAAGTGAAGAAAGAAGAGCTGATCCCCAGTCTTCATCTTCCTCATCCATCTCGGATATGTTGACGAGCCTCTCGCACACATGAGCTTTCTTGGCTGCGATCTCTGCTTCCACGGCCCTTTGGTAAAAGACAAAGGTGGCATCCCCAAGCTGACTCTTGTGCCATAGCGGCATGAAGTGATTGCCTTCCTGCAACGAACCAGGCTGCAAGTCTGCTCTGCATTTCAAGTAGCACCTAGCATTTGGGTTTGCCAAATCCACGCCCTCCATCAGGTCGTCGGTCCCTTGAAAGCAGAAGGCCAAACAATCCATTAGGCTCTTCACCACAAACCCGTCATCCTCTGCAAAAACCAGCAAGGCAGACTGTTCCGTGTGCTTCAACATGAAGTGTGCCAAATCGATCACACCCAGCCACACATCATTCTTTTGGATGCATTTTGAATAGAGCTCCTGGTTGGGGATGCCGCGCTGATATGCGCTGATATCTATAAAATCCAGCTGTACGACCCTCTAGAAAATGACCGAACATATCCAACATACACATACCTTAACACCTTAACATACATTAACCTTGGATAACCTTGGTTTGGATTTGTAACGGATGGTTTCAGCTCATTTTGCTTCATTTGGATATATTTGAATGCATCCACATGGAAAGGCATGGAAAGGCATGGCACCAACCTGACCAGCAGCCAAGCCACAATGTCCCTTGCAGTCTCGGGGTTGCAAATGCGAGCTGAATCTAGTGGTGGTGCGTCTGGTGGTGCGTCTGGTGGTGGTGGTAGGGGAGCTTCATTTTGTGGCAGAGGAGAATCCTTGTCACGGGGCGGAAGAAACACACATACATGTCCTTCAATGATCTTCCAATCATTTTAAGGTGAAGGAATTGTGTGGGACCCACCATCTTCATCCACCATCAACATTTTTCGGATGAGCATTTGTAGAACAAAATGAAAACACAGCAATTCAATAGGGCATAATGATGCACAATAGGATACAATAGGGATCAATAGGGATCAATAGGGGACTCACCATCGACACGCATGGACACCGTTCAGCTCCTTTCAGATCCTTTCAAGATGTTTCAACAAACAATGTTGCTAGAAAATGGATAAACATGAATTTTAAAAAAAGGCGCAGCAAGGATTCCATAGCAACTGTCTGCATATGTCACTGGCCTCAAGGATGAAAAAAAACTACCTAACTACCCATCAGATATCATCAAATATCATCAGATCCCATCAGAACAAAAGAGGACCCTGAAGACCCTATTATCATTCATGTTCATTCATTTTCTAAAGACCCCACCACAACCACAATTTCCGAGGTCCACGGTCCTCTTTCTGCTCTGTCGATACACCCTGTGCTGGCTGTCCTGCAGCCCGCCAGCAATCTGTGGACGGAAAGCGGAAAACCGGAGGTACAAGATGGTACAAGCAGGGAATGTGAGTATGGTGGCTCTTGTTTCACCATGTCTGTAAATCAAATTAGAGGCCTGAGCCATGTCTACAACATAAAATTACATAGATATAAATATATAATAATATATATATATATAGGTTTTGGATGATATGGATTGATATGGGGTGATGTGGGTAAATATGGGTCAAAACGGGAAACAGCCAAAGATCCAGAAAAGAAAACGGGACCTAACACATTCATACACATTCTGACTATCTCCTCTATAGCTCAAACAAACACATGGACACGTGACAATACATGACATAGATCAGTCCACCCAGTTCCAAACAGTCCTGTGGAATCAGCTGGCCTGGTCTCCTTTTTCAGATCCTGTCAATGAGTGATCTCCCAGTCTAGAAAATGAATCAACATGGAGCCACTGAGCAATTCAGAATCTTATCCCCCCCATCAAACCTAAGAGACCCTAAAAGATCTAAAAGTCTAAAAAGGTTTTTAAATGACTCCAGAGGGATCCCTTCACACACAGACTCCCAAAGCCCGTGTTCCTCCTCCTTCTTGGAAATATCATCAGATCCCATCAGAACAAAAGAGGACCCTGAAGACCCTATTATCATTCATGCTCATTCATTTTCTAAAGACCCCAGCCCCAACCACAATTTCCGAGGTCCACGGTCCTCTTTCTGCTCTGTCGATATACCCTGTGCTGGCTGTCCTGCAGCCCGCCAGCAATCTGTGGACGGAAAGCGGAAAACCGGAGGTACAAGATGGTACAAGCAGGGAATGTGAGTATGGTGGCTCTTGTTTCACCATGTCTGTAAATCAAATTAGAGGCCTGAGCCATGTCTACAACATAAAATTACATAGATATAAATATATAATAATATATATATAGGTTTTGGATGATATGGATTGATATGGGGTGATGTGGGTAAATATGGGTCAAAACGGGAAACAGCCAAAGATCCAGAAAAGAAAACGGGACCTAACACATTCATACACATTCTGACTATCTCCTCTATAGCTCAAACAAACACATGGACACGTGACAATACATGACATAGATCAGTCCACCCAGTTCCAAACAGTCCTGTGGAATCAGCTGGCTTGATCTCCTTTTTCAGGTCCTGTCAATGAGTGATCTCCCAGTCTAGAAAATGAATCAACATGGAGCCACTGAGCAATTCAGAATCTTATCCCCCCTATCAAACCTAAGAGACCCTAAAAGATCTAAAAGTCTAAAAGGTTTCTAAATGACTCCAGAGGGATCCCTTCAAACACAGACTCCCAAAGCCCGTGCTCCTTCTCCTTCTTGGTGTTTACTGGTTTGAAAGGTTCAACTTGTGATGCGCCTCCTGTGGAGCAGGCAGCAGCCATGGGGATGGTGGATTTTGTTCAAGAAAATTTTCCCCGTAGATCCTAGCAGTATAATTTGTATTAATTTGTATTAATTTGTTGCACTATCAGAATCTACGGTTTATGACTTGAAACAGCTCTTTACAAAATGGACCAGCATGGGTCACCATGGTGCAAATTTTCAGTCCGATCTTGTCCTGATCCCGGTGGAGAAGACTCAAGGTCTGGAAGCTTTTCCCTTTTCACAACCACCTTTGCAATCTCGCTCTGTGGTTCTGACTTCACTTGAGCTTCGCCTCCAGTTTCTCATACAGGTGCATGGGGGTGCAAGAATTTCACAGAGTTTCCATGAACATCAATCAAAAGAAATCAAAAGAACATATCCAAACACATCACCCAGCACATACAAATACATCCAAATACATGGACATACCCGAAATGCCTGGTGGTGGAAGTGGCTTCTGGTGCTTGTCATCTGGAAACTGTGTTGCTGGCGGTATTTCACGATCTTTTCCTCTGGTGGCGGCCACACCGCATGGCTCCCAAACATTCCCAAACAATAATTCCCAATGGGTTCACATGAATACACATCTTTGAGCTGACCAAATGTATATCTCTATATATATATATACATATGTGTGTATGATTGTGTGTGTATGTATATGTGTTTATATATTTGTACGTATAGTTTTAATATGTTTTAATATGTTTTAATTAATATTACTTGTCTAATCTTGTCTAAATACATTGATAAAAACTGTGGACCCAAAACAAATCCATACAAATCCCAGGCAAGCCGCTATTCCTGCACGGTGGAGTGTGCGGGAATGGCTCTTCGGGCTGCGATGGCCCCACTGGAGATCTGAAAAGAAAATCACCCCTGATCATATGGTTGTCGAGTTCCTCCCATCTCCTCTCGGTCGGTGTCTTCTTTTTCTGCTTCTCTGGTGTGAGATAGCTTTGAGGACCTGCAAAAGGGATCAAAAGGGATTCAAAGCATGTGGCCTACAAAATGACTCGCACTGGTCATTGCCCCAAAATCTGTCCTTTCCATCCCTTCCTATCCCTTCCTATCCCTCTCCAAGCAATTGTGAAATATTTTGGACTCAGCCACACCCAGTCCCACACAGACCTTTGGAATCCTCTGGCCCAAAGCCTGTACCAATGTCCTGTGAAAGGACAAAAGGAATTCTTCACCTATAGATACAAACCAAACAGTACATTTCAATACATTTCAAAGCTCCATTCATCTAGAAAATGGATGAAAATGAATGAAAACTGACACAAAAGAATCAGCATGGCTCCCCAGAGCAAATCACCGTCTAGGATTTATGGGAATCCCATGGAATTACAATAGCCGTCTCCCATTTTCCCCCCATCAGATACAGAGCCTGAGACATGCCTCAAGGATCCTCAAAAATCTTCAAAGATTCTTGAAACCCTCATGTACATTCATGTACATTCATTTTCTAGAGCAGCCCCGAATAGCTCCAACCGTACTCCCGGAGCCCGCTGTGCTCCTGCTGCTCAGCCAACGCACCTTCCATTGCAGGTCCTGTAGCGCGGCAATCTGATATGGATTCATGGGAGATGTCTAGAAAAT